GCCTAAGTTCTCCCAAGTCGAGTTTCTTATATGTGGATAAGAGCATTATACTAACACTGGCTTTCTAACTACGCAAGGTATGGAAAAGCTACCTGGATCTTTTAGCTTAGAAGGCATGTTATTTTGAAGTATAGCGCTACACTCGGCAGTGACCATAACAGTTTCGTTGTCTTTTAGCTTTTTCTTATTTGACAAGATCTCTTTGAGAAATTTAACATATGGAGGCATTTGCGTAATAACTTCTCTTGAACGGTATGGTTACATTCAATTTCTTTAGAAGCTCTACAAATTTCTTAAATTGTTTTTTGTTTTTGGATTTAGCTAGTCTTTGAGGATAAGGTATATGTGGTTTGTATGGCGGCGGGGGCACATAAGGTGTTTTTTTCTCTACGGCGTCTCTGCTTTCATCTTCCTTCTCCGTATTTAGTTTTTCTCCCTTCACGATTTCCTTTCGCATATTCTGGTGCATGGCTGAATTTTGGATTCTCAAAAATCGACAAGTCCATCGTATTCTATTCCGCTTTGCAAAGTAATAGCATTAGCATAACCTTTTGGATTTGGTTACGGTTGGCCAAGAAATGCTTTCGCGGGGGCTGCTATAGTTGATTGTTGTTGGGCTACTTGAGTGATTTGAGTTTCCAACATTTTGTTACGAGTAGCCACAACATCAAGCTTGCTTGACAATTGTTTCATCAGTTCGCTTGTGTGAGCGTTTTAATTTGCGACCTGTTTTGCTGGGCTTGAGCATTCATAAAATTCTCCATCAAGATTTCCAGACTTGAATTCCTAGGTGGCTATGGTAGAGCGGATTGAGCTCCTTTCTGAAATCCGGGTGGAACAACATGTGTTGGGTTCAGTGGATTGAAAACATTGTTATTCTTATGCGAAAAGTTTGGGTGATTTCTCCAGCCAGGATTGTAGGTGTTTGAATATGGGTTCCCTTGAGCATGATTCACTTGGTCGGTTGGAGTACTAGCCAACACTTGACATTCAACGTTTGTATGCCCAGGGTTTCCACAAATTTCACAATTTGGAGTCAACGCAGCTGCAGTAGCCGCTGGTAGTGCTATTGCTAAACATTCAATCTTTTGAGCAAGTGCGTCTACTTTAGCATTGACTCAGTCTATACCGTTGACTTCGTGCGTTCCCCCTTTCGGAGTTAGTCTCTCTACACCAGCGTGTTCACCTCCCCATTGGAAATGGTTTTGAGCCATAACCTCTATGAGTTCATAAGCTTCTGCATACGATTTATCCATTAGAGCACCTCCTGCGGCTGCACACAGGTTCATTTTGGTGTTGTACAACAGCCCACCATAAAAGGTTTGTATTATCATCCATTCTTCAAGTCCATGGTGTGAGCATATCCTCAACATTTCCTTGTATCTCTCCCAAGCATCGAATAAGGATTCGTTGTCTTTTTGCTTAAATCCGTTGATTTGAGCTCTCAGCACAACTATCTTACTTGGTGGGAAATATCTGGCTAAGAAGACTTTCTTCAACTCGTTCCATGTCGTCACTGAATGGGATGGTAGAGACTGGAGCCAAGCTCTAGCTCTATCCCTCAATGAGAATGGAAAAAGCCTTAGTTTGATTGCTTCTTGACTAACTCCATTGGCTTTTATAGTGTCAGCATATTGCACAAATATTGATAAGTGAAGGTTCGGGTCATCCGTAGCATTACCTGAGAATTGGTTTTGTTGAAATGCTGAAATTAGCGAAGGTTTCAGCTCAAAATCGTTACGGTTAATAGCTGGGGCAACAATGCTGTTGTGTGGCTCTTCTTGTGATGGAACAGTGTAATACTTTAGAGGACGTTCTCTCGGTCCTTCGACCATGTTTCGTTCTGGTTCTGTTTCGGTTTCTAAATCTGAATAAGGAATAATAGGTTCTGGGATGTTATGTCTCTGAAGGAAATCTTTGATTCGGCGTCTCAGAAGTGTGTAACATTCAATTTCGTTGACTGGTCGTTCCAACTCTTCGCCTCGTAAGCGAGTGTCTAGCATACAATCGACTAATCGAAAAGGAAAATAAAATAAATTGCCTTAGTCTATATTGTGCAATTGAATTATCACAATATTGACTAAATTAGTCCCTGGCAACGACGCCAAAAACTTGATCGCGACTTAGCGTATTGGTCGGATTACTACTGCAAGTATACACTTTATCGCGTAGTTTTAAAAGATTGTCGAACCCACAAGGACTAATAATCAACCTAGACTGATCAATTGGTGCGGTCCAAAGCTAAGGCTTGATTTTTTCGGTAAAAGAAGCTCAATTATAAGGGGATTTGAAAAAGATAAAGAAACGTGTCCGAAGAATGACCTACGTACTCCTAAGGGACTTCGTAGATCCCGGGTGTTAACAAAGGTCTCAAAGTTATTCTGTAGGAAAAGTCGGTTTAAAGATTCGATCTCACACTCTCGCGCTATTGATCCAACCACACCTGGTAACCCCAAGATTTTGCTCTCGCTCGCTCGGTAGTTAAAAGACACACTTTGAAAACTAACAAAGCCTAAATGAAACCTAAAGCGCTCTCGCTGTGTTCAGGCTCAGTGCTCGGTATCTACTATCCGGCGATCACCTCAAACTCTTGCTCTATCGGACACGCCTTGGTGCGTTTCTCACTCTCGTGACAAAACTCTGTTAACCAACCTCTCGCTCTCACGACAAAACTGCCTAAATTCAAGTTAGATACCAGAACTGGAATTAAAACGATTAAGTTAAACATCGATGGTTTCTACAGAGTCCCGTCGAAGCGACGATCCTCAATCTACAGACTCCGACGAAATTACTCGCACATATTGATCTTTAAATTTACCATACTAAACATGTTGTAAATTAAAACACACGTAATTGCAAGTAATACAGAATTGAAAATGCAGTAAAGCAGAAATTTAAATAACCTGAGATAAACAAAGATAAAAATGACTTCAAATGAATTTCAATATTGATCCAAGTGTACAATCAACAACAAAAATAAGAAATACAACAGTGCAACAATCACTCAGTATGAGCAATTACTGCTTTGATAAGTGAATATGTGGCTAAGTCTGAGGAATTTTCTGCAGCGCTTCCGCACAGTTTCTTGGATACAAAAACTGACCTACAAGGGTCTATATATAGAGAGAGGGGTGGGTTCCAGGAGGTTTAAATTCAAAAACCATCAGAACTGCCAAAACTGCTCTGCAAAAACTGCTCCCGCGCTGAATGGCGACCACCGTGTGCATAATGGCGACTGCCATTTGCTTCAAACCGGGATTCCCTCATTTTCTTGCACGGTGACCGCCTTCCTCAGGCCATGGCGAGCGCCATTTCCCTGAGGAGGCTAGAACTTGACTTTTTGGTGGGTTTTCTTCATTGCTTAGCTCATCTTTCGATCTTTTTCTTCTATGTTGCCGATATAACACCTATTAAGTAAAACAGAAGAAAACATAAGTGATCAACAACTAAAACGACAATGACTCGATAAAATAACAGATAAAAATGCGCGAAATGAATCAAAAAGTACGATACAAAGTCGAGTCATCACTGCCTTTCCATAAAATTCTTATTTTCATCTCATTCATCCTGATTCGATGTGGTCTTGATCCCTAAAATCTACGTTGGAGCTTATTGAAATACACAAAATACCTTTCCTCCACATGTGAAACACGTTCTTCCGTTCAATGGTGTTTCATCCTAGGTCTTTCATGATTACTTGCATGTTCTTTGTATCCAGACCTACGGTCGACTAATCCAATGAAACTAATTCCACCGTCCACCTGTGGGAGTTCGATTTAAAGTCAGAGTTTGGGATTCAAACCCGAAACCCTAAGAACACATTCTCATGATCCAAACCTTCATCACTATATCAATCCTTAGAGTGTGTTTGAATGAGATAATTGAGAATTTTTAAGGAATTCAAAATTTTCAAGCAATTCAAATTATTTAATTGAAATTCATTCATTTTTAAATTCTTTTGTTTGGATGGAGTATTACAATGATTTGTTGTAAAAAAATTGGGTATTTTTCATAAATTTTAAAACTTTTGGGTCAAATTTAAATTAGGGACCAATTTGCAATTTTTAAAAATTTGAAGAGATTAATTTGTAAGTTTTAAAAATTATTAGGGACTTATTTGCAATTTTTTGAAAATTTTGGATTTGTTTAAAATTTTCATAAAATATGTGGACCATCTTGCAAAATTTTAAAAATTAATAATGAACAATTTAACATTTATATTATATAGAGTGAAGAAGCATTTTCAATTTTTTTTTTGTTTTATTTGAAATTCCTTCAATTTAACTTGAATAAAATATTTCATAAATTTATATCATTTTAACAATTCTTCATATTTTTTTATCCAAACAATAGATTTTGATCAAATCATTTTAAATTCTCTAAAAAAATAACTTTCCCTCGTTAAAATATTTCATTCAAATACACGCCTAGATATTTAATGTATAAGATTCTAAAACGCTAAAAATCACTTTTTTTTATTAACGTGTCTTATTTATTTTATGAGAAATACTTGCATTGAAACGTATATAATTTTATTTTTTTAAAAATATTTAATAAAAAGAAAGAAAATTTTAAATTTAATTTAATGTTTAATTAAATTCAGAATAATTGTGATTACTAAAAAGAGAGAAAAAATTTATTTTTAATTTTTTAATTAATAAAAAAATTATGATTAAATGTGTGCAAATTTATTTATTACTATTGTTTTCATCTATAAATTTTCCTTAAAGATATCAAATTTACAAATTCAATCCGGTAAATTTGAGACGTCACACGACCAACTCACATTTTGGGAAGTTAAGTTCGAAATTTTCAAAACAATATTGTAAAATTTGGGGCATTGGTTTGTTAAAAAAATAGTGATGGTGCACGGTGCACCACGTTGCTTAACATAAACCGTTTCGCTAATTCGACGTATCCGTCCAAATAAAAACACAAACAGAAGGAACATCGAGGAAGAAGAAGCCTCACGAAGCCCCGTTTCCGCAACAACCACCGCCATGGCTTTTCTAACTCGAACATCCTCGCGATTTTCTCACCTAGCTTCACCACAACGTGTAGCTTCTCTCCACACAACCCTACCTTCGCTATCTACAACCTCACCTACGCCTTATGCTCCACCGCCTCCCCCGTCGGCTTCCTCTCCCGCCGGCCTCTCAAAATCGGGGGAGTACGTGATCTCAAAGGTTGACGATCTCTTGAATTGGGCGCGTCGTGGTTCCCTCTGGCCTATGACCTTTGGGCTCGCTTGTTGTGCTGTTGAAATGATGCATACCGGTGCCGCTCGTTACGATCTGGATCGATTTGGGATTATTTTCAGACCTAGCCCTCGCCAATCTGATTGTATGATTGTTGCTGGTACTCTTACCAACAAAATGGCACCCGCTCTTCGCAAGTACTTTTCTTCCCCCTTTGCTAGGGTTTTTACACGTTTTCACATTATTCCTTTCAAATTCTCTTTACTATTTGCGTAATTCCTATTAGTATACCCCTGTAGATGCGTTGATTTGTTTATTTTGTTATAGTTGTGTGTTCTATATCTATGATGATGAATTTTCAAATTCAACAAAAGTGGCATATTTGTTGTTTCTCCATATTTTTATTAAATTGAGAATTTTTGAGACTAAGTTGCCCTCTTAAGTTAGGTCTTGTTTGAATATATTATTAAACACTTGTTTATCATATAAATGTTTATGTATAGGTTATTTCTAAGACAAAAGATGAAATAAAGTCAAAGTGTTTTGATATTAGCTACAAGTTATTTCATAAGTTATCCCGTAGAGCTGATGGAAATAAGCTGAAAAGAGCTTTTGAAAGTTGGTTTCATAAGCTCTCCTAAACAATTTTACTAGTGTTTATGCGAGTAGATATCTCAAATAGGATTTAATTGCATCAAATTATACTTTGTTTTGATTGTTTTGATCGAGTATTATTTTATCACAAGTTAATTCAGTATATTCCGCCTGTAGGGAACTAGTAGCTAGGGAAAAGGGTTTCGAGTACTTACTGTTTTATTCAAGAAATCTCTTGAACTTTATTTTTCTGCTGCTTATGATTGTGGCATAATATCAAATAGTAATATTTTCCAAATACCAATGATAAACACCAAACAGAAAAACATGAAGACATACACTGTAGTCTGCAGACTCCAATGGTCTCCTCAATCAGACTTTGATTGTCCGCTTCTTTTCCTTTCATCTCTTATTCTATTTTACTATTAGAAGTAGGTCTCTTTACATACCAAGTGCGCAGGTCCTTGCAATTGTTATTTACTCCCCTAAACACACTCTCTTTTCGGTATTGATTTTTTCCTTTCTCATTGTTACTCTATGAGCTCCCAATTCCCTGCTGCAGTTTTCTTTCTACCTAATAATACACACCTAACTCATATGGGTTGGCTTCTAATTCCCTACTGCAGTTTCCTTTCTTCCTAATAATCCACACCCAAGTCCTTATGGGTTGGCTAACAGATAGTCTTCTCCATATGACCGTATGTTGTTGTAGAAATTATTTCAATTAAATTTGAACATCACTGCGTGTTGGAAGAGGTTCATATGTTGTGATCATCTTATATTACATTAGTGTTGTCAAATAGTGACTATAGCAGTGCCTAGATGATAAATTGTGGTCTTAAGCAGCATAGAGCAGCTGTTAGTCGCCACGATGAAACTCAGAGCATCGTGTATTACAGGCGCTGCCACTACAGGCTCTTTCACAAAGATTAAATCATGCCAGGTGTCGAAATGACGTGTGTATCATGTCTACTGCAATGAATTCTAAGGAAAAAATCCAAGACGCCCTAAAAATTAAAACGCGTGAGAGGTCTTCTTGACATTTCACGTGCCAATACCTACCCTACCCTCTTCTCTTTTCTCCTTCTCTGCAAAGCCCTACAATAACTTTCTACTTCCTTCTGTCTTTGCTGTGACTCCTCCTACTTCCTTCCTATTTCTTTGTGACACCATTGAGCGTCCTTGTCCTGAATGCCACAGTGAGATCCACAATCGCAATGAACTGTTTCTTTTTGTATTTTTTCTCTTTCTCTGCCTCTCTCATTTATTACCTCCTCCGTCTTGCTTTGTCTCCTTTTTCATCTTCTGTTTCTCTAATTTTTTAACCTATTCTTTTGAACTTCTAGTTTTCTCCTCAAACCCCTCTCTTCTGATTTTGTTTCCCTGTTTTGATATTTTTCTGCATTAATTTTATGTTTCCCTCTCTGTTATTTTTTGTTTTCTTGACTTTTGTTGGTCTTTAAATGTATGTTTTCATTAAAATCTGTGACTTTTTTTTTATTTTAATGAGTCTTGGATTATTTGTTTAATTTCATATCAAATGTGTTTATAATATTTTTTCATGTAATTTCACCCCCTACACATAATCTTGTTTTTTGGGGTTGACCGTTTTGTGCTGCTCTCCAAGATTGACTGCATAGAGAGGTGCCGTAGCACTAAAGCATAGAGGAAATGGAACAATTTGCTATTGTTTTGCATTACACTGTTTAGTACAGAGTGTTATCATATTCATATAGTTACAGTGCAATAGCGCTATCGAAATTTAAACACAATATTATTTTTCACAATGTGTGTTTGACACTTTGACAACACTTGTTAGAGAATATAATGTATGCCGATATTTAATTTTAATATGATTCTACTATACAAAAATATCGTATGCTCATCTTTATCTAATGAATATATCATTACCCAGATTGTTGTTCCACTTATAGGACTCTGCAACTTTTTTATTTGTTTTGGTGTCTTACCTGAGATTTGGGAATGAATCCTCTTCCTTGATAATCTCATAATACTTGTTATATGAAAACTGTGTTTATCCATCATTACAGTTGGTATCATTTGACAGTACTCTACTACCTATTGAACATATATGAAAAGAGAAAAAGGGTACAGATTTTCTATTTTGACAATGTTTTGTGAAATTTTAATGAGAGGATTCTTTTCCAAATTACTCTTGGCAATTTTGAAGAACATCTATCATAATTCTGGTTGTGAAGTGTTTTGTAATACCACGTCATCTTGGTGTTGGGAATTTTGTATTTTAGATTACCATATACCCTTTCCTCCTTTATAAGTATATACAGTACTCAAGTCAATGCTGACAAATTCTTGCAGGGTTTATGATCAAATGCCGGAGCCTAGATGGGTTATCTCCATGGGAAGTTGTGCTAATGGAGGAGGATACTACCACTACTCTTACTCTGTTGTCCGGGGATGTGACAGGATAGTTCCCGTTGATATTTATGTTCCAGGCTGCCCTCCAACTGCCGAGGCTTTACTGTATGGACTCCTCCAACTGCAGAAGAAGATCAATAGGCGCAAGGACTTCCTCCATTGGTGGTCACAGTGATGTCGATTAAGTTTATCTCTTGGCACCAAGCCATTTTATAATAAGCAATTCATGGTTGGTTTACTTTTGCTATGAATCACCCTTTGTTTGGTGGATATTCTGTTGATATGTGACATTATTTCTGTATGTTCTATGTGGAGATTTTCGGGCGCTTAAGGTCTCGGAGAAGTTGAATGTTTCTTATATACTATATACTACCAGTGCTTCTTTTGTACCTGAGGTTGTTTAACCATTCATGTTTGCCTCATAAGTTACAATGTTTATTTTTTATGGGTTTCGGTCTTGCTTACTCCTGAATCCTGATTAATGGTGTCCCATTCAATATTTTGGAATGGAACTGATGGTTTCTTTCATTTATCCCCCTATTGCAGCACGCTTTGTCCTCGCCCATATAGCAATACAGTTTACATTGAATAAATGATGGACAGATCTCAGTGTCTGGTTTGTTATAGACTAAGATTTTATGCAATTATTATTTAGATAAGACTTGTATGTTCTATAGAAATTGTTGGTGATGTTTTCCTATCAAAATGGATATTGTAGAGACTGAGTTGTTTGTTGTATTTTGTGTTTGAATGCTCTTAGTAAAATATAATTCCTTAGATGTCATGATTTAATTGAAAACAACATAAAGAGTTTATATATAATGCGTTATTGATCATCGTTGGATCTCCAATTATAATCAATTAACGGTTGCTCAAGTTATTACTAAACCATTTGGTCACTCTGCCTAAAAATTAAAATTAAGAGGATGTGCAAATTGGATTGGAGATTGCATCTAGTGTTGCTAATATAATTGGTGTCTATGTGTAATGATTAAGTGGTGGCGCTAATTGATTTGACACCGGCGTGTGTTGTTTTATTTTATTTTATTTTTACAATAATTTATATAAAAGTCGGAATCAGAAATATTAATATTAATATCAGGTTATATTTACATATGAAAATAAAAAATACTAATCTTGTTGAGCAGAATGACCTAATAGACCACCAGTTCCACATCCCATAGCTACCCTAATGTGTGGTCCTAATGTGTGGTCCTAATTCACGTCGTTGATTCACTCCAAGTGTTTGAGGATTTGAAGATCCAGGAACATCACCACCATCTGCACCATGTCACGTAAGAAGTTAAGTCAATTTCATAAAGTCCTGTGTATGCAATGACACGCTACTGCTGTAGTTGAGTTCGTGACCCATGGCAGAGTAGTTGGGATGTGTTTGGGTTATTGGTATGCGGTCGGGACGGTTGAAGGGTGACATTGGTGTGAATGATTTGTTGGGGAAATGTTGATACGATGTTTGGTAGCCATCTGGTTGTTGCATGTTTTGCTTTTGTGATGTTTGGTCTTCTTGGCCATGGTAGGAGGAACAATTGGTGTTAAATGATCGTTGAGTGTTTTGGCTATGGCGGCTATGGTAGGATGATGTGTTGGAGGCATATCAATGTTGGGTGTCTTGATATTGATCATCTTATTGGCGGTGGTATGAGGTATGCTCTTGGTATTGTAGTTGAGTGTTTGACATGTTAAGGTCGTATGTTTGTGTGTTTGTGGGCCGATAATTTTGTTAGGTAGGGGGTTGTGAGAAACCGATATGGTAATTTTGTGGGGGTTAGATGTTGAACCTTCTTGTGTGTATGTGACTTGGTGTGGGTCGTAAAGGTACATATCCTTGGCGAGAAACTCAAATCCAACTGATATGTACCAATCCATATATTACGAGTTCTTCGATTGGCATTATAGCGTCACTTAAGACATGGTCATGTCGGTGCTTTCATTTTCGACACTCAGGTCTAGCGAAGCCTTGCCAAGGGTTAAAGTTACATTGGTCATTAACTCTTCGTAGTTGCTATTCTCTGAGATTTGTCAGGGGATCTGGAATGTGTCGAAGCATGCCAAACTGCAGTTTAACACAATCACTATGGTGCATCGCCATAGTAGTGAACCTGATGATCGGTGTGTATGTAGTCCAAATGGCTGCATCTTGTTCGTTGATTTCATGTTCATGATCCAAGTTTAGATATGGACGCCAAATGAACTGAAGAGAAAAAATATATTAGATTATAAAATGGATGATATTAAAAAGAAATTATCATGAATAAATTCGGTTAGTGGCATTACATCTGTTGTTCTAAGGTGATCTAAGAGATTGCAATACTGAGTAATACAATGTCTAGGACATCTGTTGTAAGTCATACCACGAGCCGACCATATGCACCAAAAAAGTAAATATATTATTTAGGGATGATAGTCAGTAAAGTAAGAAAGTATAATTAATGTTAAGAACTTACTTTTGTGTGTACAGGAATGCAAACAGGTTGTGGTTGATGGGCGTTGGGGACGGTAGTCTGGACCAACCCCATGCTTGGAGCAAAACAGTATATCCAGAAAATGTAGATGTGTCTTTGTGTGCATTTTTACACAAAGAGCTATACAGATAAGCCAAACAAACGGACCCCTGTTGGCTGAAATTTCACATGAATGTTTGAAATAAATCAGTAGAGCTTAAAGAGATATTCTGGAAAAAGAATATGTTGATTCCGACGAAAAGTTGGTGAGGACATAGTCGACGAAGACCCTTTGTATAAAGGGAGATTTTGGTCTGGAACTTAGAAATATTTTTGGTTCAGACTTGAGTTCGACGAAGTTCGTTTAGAGTTACGTTCGACAAACGTAATTCAAAATAATGCTAATAACTATTTTTTGGCCTTATCTGTTTCTTGAAGAGATGTGGAAAGCTGTAGATAGCGAAGTACATGTAAGTAAGAATTGCGCCTAAGAGGGGGGGGGGGGGGGGGTGAATTAGGTTCTTTTGAAATTTTTTGGTTTTAAGAAGATTATGTTACTTTCTTTTTTTTGTTGAGTGATGATATGAAAGCTTGTAAAGGCAGAAAGTAAAAGAGACACAGGAAATTATAGTGGTTCCCCTCACACTCTGAGGGTACTCCACTCCCTTTTCGACTCGAAAGAGATTTCACTATAGTTAGGATCAGTGTACAACTTTCTTTCTAACCTATAGGGAGATCAAAGGCTCTTAAACACCTTTAAGATTTGAACACTAAGTGCAATGAGAACAATTCTCTCTAATGCACACACTTGCTTTCAACAATCCTGAACAACAAGGGGAAATAAATACAATTTGATTTTTGTAATGATTTATAACAATGTATACAGTTGTTTATCAATGCTGAGATTGATCTTCTCTTTCAATGGGAATTTCCACAAGTTTCTAAGACTTATTGCTCAAGAATTTTCTTTTCAAAGGATATGAAGTTTATGCAGAAAATTCTTTGTGAAAAGTGATTTTTCTTAGATGTGGAAAGATGAAATTGTGATAAAGATTTTGAAAGAGAATTGAAAGAAATGTTTTTTGAATTTTGAAAGATTTAGGTATTTATATTACACAAACACCTCTTGAGAAAAACATGCAAATCTCCAGAAAAATTGATGAACAATTGTCATGTTTCAAAGGAAACATTCCACAGAAATTTGATTGAAGAGATGCAATTTTTCAGAAAGATTTTTCAAAAACATTCAATGAGCAATCAATTGCACAAAGAGTCCAATCGATTGCACCTTCACAAAAATACTTGAAATTTCAAATTTTTCAATAGAGCAATCGACTGCACCTTTGGACCAATCGATTACACTTCAAAACAGAAGTGAAAAAAGAGAAATTTTTAATCATGCAATCGATTGCACCAAGGCAGCAATCGATTGCTTGCTGAAACATAATTAAAAAGAGTTTAAAACATTGATCATGCAATCGATTGCACTTTAAAAAAACTTAGAAAAAATTCTGTTTTAAAAGGCTTGTGTGAGTGTAAAAAGTAATGTAAATGATTTTTAATGATTTGAACAATTAGGACTTAAATACTTAATGGACGTTCTCATTATACCTTCTGAGGAAAACATCCTTAAAGTTGTGTCTTTGTCCTGATGCTTGGTGGTTGATCATCTTTGCCTTCTTTAAGTGGTTTGTCTTCATCAAAACATTTGTTGATCTCTGCGAATCTTGATTCCACATTCTCCCCCTTTTTAATGATGACAAAGCACTCTTCTTTTGTTGCAATGTTCTTTCCTGCAAATTCTTTCTCCCCCTCAATTTGTGAAGTTGAAAAGTTTTTCTCCCCATCAATGTGTGAAGTTGAGAAGTTTTGAATTTGTATTGAGGTTCGAAATAACCTTGTATTTGTATATTTGTACCTTAAGGAAAGACAATAAGCAAGAAAATAGTAGCATGATTCTCCCCCTTTTGACATTATCAAAAAGAAGGGAAAGATGGATTAAGGCAGTAAAATATAGATAACAAATTGAAAATAAAATATAAACTTAGTCATAATTCAAATTTCAAATTTAGAAACAAAAACAGTACAAGGAAACTAGATAGTACGTATTTCAAATAACATAAATGACTTAAAAAGACAACATAAAACACATAGTAAAAAAGGTTTTTATGACAGATCCATGTTGGGGTCAAAGTTTGGTTGGTTTGGAAATGTTGTCGGGAGAGGTGATGGACGAGTTGGAGGGACAACCGGGTTTGAAGGATCATATGGCGGAATGTATAAGTGAGAGTACAAATAGGAGAATTGTTGGTTGACGGCCTCTTGGAAGTTGGTGATCCGAGTGTTGGTTGACTCTTGAATAACATTGTATTGGTCATTTATGGAAGTGTTGAGATTTCCAAACTGTTGAGTCATGTAATCCATTAATTGTTGGTTACTTGGGCCATTTCCAGAAGGAATAGGAAGATCATCATCGTCTTCATCCTCTTGCTCATCATTTTCAGCCACACCTTCACCAAGGTAAACAATGGTCTTGGTTTCCGGGTTGTATTTGACACCTATCCGAGAGTCCACATTTTTGATTGAGATCTTGTTGATACTTGAGTCCATGAGACACTTTTCAAACCCTTCAAAGTCTACTTTATAATGTTCCAAGATCTTTGTGATGAACCATGCATATGGCAGAAACTTAGATTTTTCATTGATTCCGCGC